GTGCTTCGCTGTTGAGGATGAAGACGCTTGACGACACCAGCAATTGTCCAGGTACCATTTGTTAACTTCCTTCCTTGCCTTAGCGAGGTTTGCGAGCTTCGGAGTGATGTGATGCTCCATGTCGTGCTCGTTCTCGTAGTCGTAGTAACATCCTTCCTCGTCGTATGCGATGCGTGCAGGTGGTGACTCCTGAATCCACTGCGGCGCTTCCCAGTCAAACTGCATCCGTCCGACCGTCAGCTCGTCGTACGTCGGATTGTTCTCTTCTTCGTCTTCAACCGAACCTTCGGGTCGTTCCTGAGGTGGATCTGCGAACATGTCTTCCCAGCTGCGGAAGAAGCGGTAGTGTCGGTTTGGGCGAGGTGGTCCTCGACGCACCATGCAAGTCAAGACCTTGCTTTTTCCCTTGTCGTTTGTGTTCGCAGAAATACGGCCCGGGGTTTGAGACGTGCTGGCGACGGCTGTTGGTGACACTGTCTGGTTGCGTGCTGGAGCTCCTCCTTGCTGGTGAGTTGCGGCACCATTCTGGTTGTTGTTGTTGCTGTTTAGCTTCCAGCAGTCTTGAATCATGTGCCCTGTCTTCTTGCAGTATTTGCAGAAGAGTCTTTTCTTGTTCGGTGGCGCTTGAGCGTAGAAATCAATCTTCTCATTTTTGTTGCCCCTTTCGTTGTACAGATCGATTTCCTTCTGCTCGGAGAGAAGCGTGGAGCAGAGGGCAGTTTCGCTGAGGGTTCCTTGTGTGCGAAGGAGCGATTTGCATTGGCGCCATTCCGGGCTCAATCCAGCGAGGATGATAGTGACGAACATGTCGTCAGGGAAGTTGCCGCCGCTTTTCCTGAATTGATCTCTCAGGTTCCTGCAGCGGTTGATGTATGGTCCGGCCTTTTCGTCGGGAAACATCTTGACATTGTTCAGCTGGTTGAGCAGGCGACTAAGTGTCACCGAGTCCGTTGCCATGTGGCAGGTGCGCAGGTGTTCCCAGGACTGTTGCGCGGGCGCCCACTCGTTCTTGAAGGGGCGAATGTTCAGCTGTTCTTCAGGCGACATGTTTCGTATCAGGACGGTGAAGGCCAGGAGTGATTCGTTGTAGTACGACCCATTGGTCGGAAATGCGTACGACCCATCGTAATACATCCAGATCTGAGCGCCTTGAGCTAGTAGCTCAAATTCGAAGCTCCAGGTGTAGAAGTCTTATCAGTCGAACGGTTTTGTTGTCCTGAGCTTCGACGTTGATAAAAACTTGCTCTGCATTGACGCCATTGCTTCGTAATGCGTCTGTTGTGCTTGTGCAGATCCTTGGGCCCCGCGGTTGTCAAAGGTGAAGGATCGTTCAGATCCAGCTCCTTGAGGATCGGGAGGTCTTCGGGCGTAGCTAGAGCCGTCGACGCTCATTGGCTGATGGCTCTCCAAGGCGCTGATGCGGGAGATCAGCTGCTCCAGTAGCGCTGTTTCCACGGTCGTCGTGGTAGAAGCGACATTGGTGGAAGGTTGTGTTGGGTTCTCTCCATTCTCTCCGCAATCTGCGCCCGGCATGATGTTGCCCTTGTTGTAGGATTAAGTTATGAAAGAAGCTTGCTTTGAAGCCCCTTTTAGCAGTTCCTATAATCCAAACTAGCTCTCATACCATGTTTGACTGGGGACCTTGGATAGGGTAGGAATGCCTTAGAAGAGTTCTGGTAGCGAAAGACTTGTTGTAAGAACTCAGATCATAGTGAATGTAGATGACCAAGTTGTTTAAAACAAGGATTACACACATAATAAGTAGTTCCTAGCTAGCCATGTACTCTGAGGGGTACATTCCCTTATTCTAACTGCTTTACAGACATTTCTACAGTGACTCTGACTGTTGCACTACTTTCTTGTTACCGAGTCGCTGCATGTAACCTGTACATACGGTTACGCCTGTTGCCATTCCTCGATGGTAGGTCAAACGTCGGTCCAGATGGTCAACAGTCGCGACAGTTGACTCTTGCGACTGTTGACCTTCCTGCCCTTGATATAGGCTGATCCGACACTGCTGCTAGCGCTGCTTCGATAGTGGCGGGTGCGATACCGCTGCACCTACGGGAATGCTAAGTGTAATTCCCTTCATACTCCAACACGGTGTATAAGAGAACCCTCTCTAGTACGTATGGTCGAGTGCGATAAATTGTGCTTATATGCTGTCTTCTAGAATCGTTTTGGACGCGTTGGCGTTACGACGTGTTGCAATAGCCGGTGGAATGAATCGGCTCGGGACGATTCGAAGGCTCCAGGCAATCAGGAGGCCAAATACGGGCACCGGTCCGGCCAAGAAAACCTTCAGAAATGATTCAAATGAGTTATTTTGCAAAGAGTTAATTAGAACATCTTGTGTTATTGCGTGTTTCCTGTAAAAAAAATTCGTCATTGTGCTTTCCTGGAGCCTTCTAAACACCTGTCACGAGCCGAGCCAATGGAGTGCACCGGCAATTGCAACTCTTCGTTATACAAACCGTTTAGTTCATACAGCCGATGTCAGTCTAGCGAGAAGCAGGGTGTATTGTCTTGTACACGGTATCCTATCGTAAACTGTAAGCCAACGGTATCGTATCGTGCGAGGAAGGATAGCAGTGCTAGTTCCGCTAGGTACATAGTTGGTGGTCTGGCGGACTGGGAACGACGAGGATTTCTAGCGACGCGCATGCCTTCGGGTATCTGATCAGTCCAAATTAGTCGAACCGCTTTACGGGCATCGCCCATGTGTATCGACGGTGTGCCACCGAGGCCGGACCCCCCTCTCCCCTTAGCTGTGAGCTACAGTACGACGCAGCAGTCAGAGTTTTCGTTACACGCACGAACGATGGTGGTGGTATGGCGGAGCGTACACACTTCAAAGCCGCCTTAGCGCCGCGCCTTCAAAAATCTGACTCAGCAACAACGTCACGTTGCGGCGAGCTTCACCTTTCGGCGCTTCAAAGTTTGAATGTCAATAACCGACACTCGAGCGAACCCATCATTCCAGTTGGTCGGCTTAGGGCACCGATTGCCACACATCCCCGCCCCCGTCCCCCCCCTCCCCTCCCCCCCCCTTCCCCCCCCACCCTCTCTCCTCGGGACTGTCACACATGGCGGACCGACTCGGCGGGAATCGGGACTCACATTGAATGCGAATCTACTCGATTTCGTGCTCAGTCAGCCATGTCATGCCAGCTTGAACGACTGTCGAAGTCACTCTTCTACCACTTGGTCTGCATTCCAGTTGCACCAGATCATTTTCACTTCAGAATTTCACCAGAGATCTCCAGTAGCGTTCACCCTTCCTCCGCTACCAACATGGAGCGTGTGGCACCTCTCCTCCTCCTCTGTGAGCACTCTTTGCTCCTTCACTCTCTGTGGTCTCCTTCACTCTCTGTGAGCTCCTTTACTCTCTGTGGTCTCCTTCACTCTCTGTGAGCTCCTTTATGTGAGCTCCTTTACTCTTTTTTCTTACTGCTAGGTTTCCACCCTTCTGTCAAAATCATGCAGCGTGCGGCACCTCGCGTTCTCCTCTGTGAACATTCTTTGCTCCTCTGTGACCACTCTTTGCCCCTTCACTCTTTGCTCCTTAACTCTCATACGACTACCAAGTCATCCTACTATGTCTCAGCCATCGCGTGGCATTCTGACTGACAGTGCATGCCTTCCCGGCTTCGTCAGCACTCTTTGCTCCTTCACTCTCATACGACTACCAAGTCATCCTACTATGTCTCAGCCATCGCGTGGCATTCTGACTGACAGTGCATGCCTTCCCGGCGTCGTCAGCACTCTTTGCTCCTTCACTCTCATACGACTACCAAGTCATCCTACTATGTCTCAGCCATCGCGTGGCATTCTGACTGACAGTGCATGCCTTCCCGGCGTCGTCAGCACTCTTTGCTCCTTCACTCTCATACGACTACCAAGTCATCCTACTATGTCTCAGCCATCGCGTGGCATTCTGACTGACAGTGCATGCCTTCCCGGCGTCGTCAGCACTCTTTGCTCCTTCACTCTCATACGACTACCAAGTCATCCTACTATGTCTCAGCCATCGCGTGGCATTCTGACTGACAGTGCATGCCTTCCCGGCGTCGTCAGCACTCTTTGCTCCTTCACTCTCATACGACTACCAAGTCATCCTACTATGTCTCAGCCATCGCGTGGCATTCTGACTGACAGTGCATGCCTTCCCGGCGTCGTCAGCACTCTTTGCTCCTTCACTCTCATACGACTACCAAGTCATCCTACTATGTCTCAGCCATCGCGTGGCATTCTGACTGCGAGTGCATGCCCGGCGTCGTCAGCATTGTCGTTTCCCTTATCCACGTCGTTGAGGAAAATTGTTTACCCTTAAAACCGTTCCCTGCACTTACTGTTTACCCTTAAAGCCGTTCTCTGCACTTACTGTTTACCCTTAAAGCCGTTCTCTGCACTTACTGTTTACCCTTGAAGCCGTTCTCTGCACTTACTGTTTACCCTTAAAGCCGTTCTCTGCACTTACTGTTTACCCTTGAAGCCGTTCTCTGCACTTACTGTTTACCCTTAAAGCCGTTCTCTGCACTTACTGTTTACCCTTGAAGCCGTTCTCTGCACTGTTTACCCTTGAAGCCGTTCTCTGCACTGTTTACCCTTGAAGCCGTTCTCTGCACTTACTGTCACCATTAAAGCCGTTCTCTGCACTTACTGTCACCTGCACTTACTGTTACCCTTAAAGCCGTTCTCTGCCCTTATTGTTACCCTTATCCCCATCGTCCTCCCATCCCGCCCCCATCCCTCCTCTCTCCCTTCCCCATCCTTCCCATGCAGCAGGTGGCAGCAGCGGCGGGGACATCAGGGAACCAGCAGTGCCATCAGCGCTACCCCTTGGCTGGCGTGCACTCACTCATGCGGCATTGAAAATCTCCCCCCCACACACCACGTCCCTTTCCCCTGGGGAACAGCAGCAGCAGCGGCGGGGAATCGGGGATATCAGGGAACCAGCAGCGCCACCAGCGCTGCCCTTTGGCTGGCGTGACCTTATGATGATCATGAGGCATTCAAACTCTTCCCCCTACACACACCTCCCTTTCCCCCCGGGAACAGCAACAGCAGCAGCAGCAGCAGCAGCAGCAGCAGCAGCAGCAGCAGCAGCAGCAGCAGCAGCAGCAGCAGCGGCAGCAGCAGCAGCAGCAGCAGCAGCAGCGGCAGCAGCAGCAGCAGCAGCAGCAGCAGCAGCAGCAGCAGCAGCAGCAGCAGCAGCAGCAGCAGCGGCAGCAGCAGCGGCGGGGATATCAGAGGAACAAGCAGTGCCAGCGCTACCCGTGGCTGGCATGCTCAACTGGAGTCAGTGGCGGGTCCAGAGATGTGGTTTCGGGGAGGGGAGGAGTCGCTGAAGGAGATGTGCAGGCAGATGTGGTTCCGGGAGGGAGTGTCGCCTCGCCTCAAGGGGTGACCGCCCTTTTGAGACGGAAGGAGCCGCGCTATAAATGCTTGCTGCTCCACCGTACAACCCCACAGCATTTGCTGTTTCCACGCCCCTATTTGTTAAAAAATGATGATGGTGATCGCATGATGCTCCCCCGTCAGGTGCGGCGCTCTTCACGGTCACGTCCGCCTCAAATTTTCCGCCATTCCTCGCACGCAGCGGCAGTGTCAGCGCTTCATCATCATCATCCGCGTACGAGGCCGCGAGTCAGGTCGCCAAGCCCTTGATGGGGATGGGGGGGGATACCCTGGGTGAGTCTGCAGTTCTCTTTGCCCCTGTGTTGTGAGGTTTCCTTCAAAGCTCGTGCCTCACCCACACAAGTTTGTCTAGAAAGTCACTCTGTACATATCCGAAAGCATCCGCTTCGTCAAAGTCAGGCTTTGTGTCGACACTTTTTTGGAGAAGCTCGTTTCATGCGCTGCCCCTATACCTGCCGTTCCCTTTGCCAGAAAAATACGTGTCTAAGTTGCGACCTAAGCAGCTCGAAGGTGCATCGGGAAAAGTGGTCGTGAAGGCCGTTAGGTGCGTAGGATTGCTACCTCACGCTGAGGTGTGTAGTACTAGCTCCCGCTGAGGTGTGTAGTACTAGCTCCCGCTGAGGTGTGTAGTACTAGCTCCCGCTGAGGTGTGTAGTACTAGCTCCCGCTGAGGTGTGTAGTACTAGCTCCCGTTGCTGCTGCTGTTGTTCCTTGTTGTCACTCACGACTGACAGGAATTGAAATCTCTCGCGCTCTTGAGACTTTTCAAGTATTATGTGCAAAAATCATGCGCCAGTCCTAAGTGGCCCCAGCCCCCATCCCCACCCACGTTTCCAAACGCACCCCCCTACCTCCTCTCCCCTCCCCCCTCTCCCCCGCCTCCTCTTCCTCCCCCCTCCTTTCTCAACCGCAATCCCCCACCCCACCCCTTCCTCTTGCCTCCCTCACGACCATCTCCCTCTATCCGCTGTTGGCAGGCATTCAGCAGAGAAGTTTAATGTCACTGTGTCCGTCCACCTCTTTAAGCTAACTGGTTTACCTTTACCTGGCCTCACGGGTTTCTGCTTTGCCTGTGGTGGTAGCGTATATGACTTCGAGATGACTTGGCGTAGGATCGGTAGTAACAAGAAGGGTCGCGCCTCCAAGCGTTACAGCTTCGTTGGGAGAGTGTCTAAAGGGCCAATGACTAAGGCTGACGCGCTTGCGATGGTAGAGCAGAAGCTGATGGGCGGTTACTATACGGTTGGTTACATGGCGATCAAGAAAGCACTCTGTGGGTCGTTCAAGAAAGTGAATCCACCTATCTGTAGGTAGCTTTGGCTTTTTTTTGGATAGCCTGCGTTGATGCTCTTAGAGGGTGCAAATCAAACATGTTAAATTAGATTGGAGCCGGCCTTAGGAAGTGCTGGAAGTGTTTGTATTGGAGTTCTGTGCATAAGGAGCTGGATTGTAGTGAGTGATGCTGTAAGGGTACACTTTCTCTTTGCTGTACTTCACCGCATAACACACTTCAAGTCGGTCGGCTTGGATGGCGTTGGTAAGCCAGCTTCTCTTTGTTTCAGAACCCAGCTTTGCATAGTCGGCTCGGCTCGGCACCATTCGAGAATATCCACAGCTGTTCGTGCACACAATCCCGAAACACGGTACCGTAAGCTCTTTCAACACTGTGACAAGGGCAGTCCAGACATATACTTTGCTTTGCACCCTCTAAGAGCATCAATATAAGCCATCCAAAGAAGCAATTTCTAGTCAATGACTACACCACTTTCTTTAACTTCCCGCAGATTACGATTTCAGTACTCGACAAGTAACCAACCACAAAGTATTTGCCGTTGTTCAGCAGAAGAGACTCCACCAACCCATTCGCTTGAGCAAAAGTCCCTGGCCCTAAGTGCTCGCTGCCTTTGAAGCTGTAACGCTTGGCGCGGCCTTCCTTGTCACTAGTGACGTTAAACCAATCGATGCCACCCTGAAAATTGTTAGAAATGCAGGAATGGGCAGAACCGGCACCGGGTCGACCAGGTTTCAGCCTGAAGGCGTTGACGGCCAAAGTGAAATAGTAAATCGTTGCTGAATACCTGCCAACAGGGCATAAAGGGAGATGGTCGTGAGAGAGAGGGAAGAGGAGGGGGGGGTGTGGGGGTTGCGGTTGAAAAGGAGAGGGGAGGGGGAGGAAGCAAGGGAGAGGGGAAAGGGGAGAGGGGGTAGGGGAAGCGTTGGATGAGGGCGGGAGCTCCACTGATCCATGATTTTGGCGATGCCACTCTCAGACTTGTGGCGATGCCACTCAAGACTATTGAGTCAAGAGTGCAAGTGATTGGAATCCCTAGCAGTCCTGATTGACAACAAGGAACAGCAACAGCAGCAGTAGGTATTAATACTACGCACCTCACAACCTTCACGACCATCTTTCCGGATGCACCTTTGCAGCCAATCACTTTCCCGTTGACCTTAGTAGGCCGTAACTTGGCCACGTATTTTACTGACAATGGGAATGGTATGTGAAGGGGCGCATGGGATACAAGCTTTTCCATATAATGTCAACCCAAATCTGACCCTAAGTTGGCGAAAAGGGATGCTCTCGGGTCGATTTGCAGGGTCACACTTGGGACAAGCTTGTGTGGGTGAGGTGAGGCAGTGGCATTTAGGGAAACCTCACAATGCAGTAGCTTGATGAACTTTGAACGAGGTGGTTCAATTCGGTGAAGCTGCAGCTGCTGCTGCTGCTACTGAGAATCCTAAAAAACGACTCAGAAGTTTCTTCTGCTACTGGTGGTACCGTGGCTGGCAGTAGTAGCAGGAACACCACGGTCGATACCAACTAAGTGTGCGGTGCGAGAACTGCTGACTCACCCACAGTCTTCCCTCTCCGCGCCAAGGGCTTGGCAACCTGACTGGCAGTCGCTGACTGCACGGGCGTGGATGATGAAGCACCGCTGCTGCGTGCCGCGAGGAGTGGCAGAAAGACCGAGGCAGACACGGAGACAGTGAGCAACGCCGCACCTGGCGGGGGAGCATCATGCCGTGATCATGTTGGAAAAATCAGGGGCGCGGAAAACAGCAAAAGCTGTATCAGCAAGCGTTCAACTTCTGTGATGAAGTTCATCATAGCGGCTCCTTCAATCTCAAAGGACCGGTAGCACGTGGGGCAAGGTGTGGGGCGACACTCCCTTAAGCACGTCCCCCGAACCCACTGCTGCCATGATCCTGCACAAAGGCCAAGGGGATTGGATGCCCGCTCAGCTGTTCGTCGCCCCTAGCACGTCAGCCAAGGGGTGTTTTTGAGAATTCTCAAAAACACCTTGCTGGCACGTAGCAGCAAATATCCCCACCGCTGCTGCTGCTGGGGGCGGAAAGAGGGGAAGGGGTTGGAGGAAAGGTGTAAGCAGTAGCAGTCGTTGATAGCGGCTTCTTCAATCCTAGTAGAAGGCTCAAGGTCGGTAGCACGTCAAGCGCACATCTCCGAACTTTTGAGGCGCCTCAAAACTCCTTCGATCCTAGTAGATGGTCCAAGATCGGTGGCACGTCAATCGCACGTCTCTGGACCCGCCGCTGCCAATTCGGTTGCTGTCCGCTCAGCTGTTGTTTGCCCCCGGCACGTCAGCCAAGGGGTATTGCAGGCATTGTGCAAGCTCCCTGATATTTCCGCTGCTGCTGCTGGAAAAGAAGGGTGGGGGGAGGGGGAATAAGTGCGATAGAAACTAGAGCGACTCCTTTTTAAGCCGGTTGCCGTCCGCCCAGCTGTCGGTCGCCCCCAGCATCGTCAGCCAAGGGGTAGCGCTGGCACTGCAGGCTTACTGATATCCCCGCCGCTGATGCTGCTGCCGTGGGAGGGTGGGAAGGGAGGAGAGGGAGGATGATGGGGGGATGGTGGGGGGATGGTGGGGGGATGATGGGGGGATGGTGGGGGGATGGTGAGGGAATGGTGGGGGGATGGTGGGGGGATGACGGGGGGATGATGGGGGGATGGTGGGGGGATGGAGGGGGATGGTGGGGGGATGGTGGGGGGATGGTGGGGGGATGGTGGGGGGATGATGGGGGGATGATGGGGGGATGATGGGGGGATGATGGGGGGATGATGGGGGGATGATAAAAATAAGGGTAACAGTACATGCAGGAAGCGGCTTCCTCAATCGGGGGAGGATGGGGAGAAGAGAAACAGCCAAGCTGAGGCCGGGAAGGCATCACACAGTGCCACGAGGTGTCATTGAGATGCGTCAAACATGGTGGCATGAGACATACTAGTACTTCCTAATAAGTTCTACTTAGTACTAAGTAGTAAAAAGAGCAAAAAGGTAGTACTAGGAATGAGCTGACTCTGAGTTGACTCAACAGTAAAACGAGTCATAAGGCGTGAGCTGAGTCGAGACTCAAGGAGTAAAGAGTGAGAAGGCACTACTGATGGTGCTTACAGAGGAGGACGAAGAGAGGTGCCACGTGGTGCTCCATGTTGCAACTTCAAATGTTTATCAACTTGAGAGGAAGGGAGAAAGTTTGTATTTTGAAACTAAAATCTAGTGGAACTAGATATCATCAGTGGGAGGCCCTGCATCTACTCGTTTGTAGTACAAACAGCCGCTGAGCGAGTGTATTGGATAGAACACTCCCGGAACGGGGCCTCGTTGCCCCGGCGACGGCGTGAGTACCGTACCACCAGCATGATCGCGGCGCGGGCCAGCTGCCAGCTTCGGGAAGCTTGACCAGGCCAGCTTCGGGTAGGTGGACCAAAGCTGCCAGCTTCGGGCGTTCAAGCTGGGATGATGACATGGCACGCACAGCACCACCAACCCTAAAATGTCACACCCGAGGCCCACCGCCGGTGATGTGCTCCAGTCCACAGGAGGGGGGATTCGGAGGGGGGAAGAGAGGACGGTGTCTCGGTGGTACACCTCAGGCTGATACACGGCGATGGGCGTAACTCCCGATCGGATGATTTTAGACCTTGGTCTGCCGCACTTGGATGCGCGCATGCGCGGCGCTGAGAAGACTCTCGGACGGACTATCTACAGGAGAGTCGACTGCCCAACAACGGCAAGAAGGCTGCAGGCCGACGATAATACACAGATCGAAAAAAATGCATTTCTTTCCTAGCAGAACACGAAAAGCTAACCAAGAAGGTGAAACAGAGTACTTGCGTGGTAATTCTAGTACATTATAACGTTAACGAACATTTTATGAGCCGCTCCAACCCCGAAGCCCACAAAGGTCGGGTTCCCGTCGCATGTGTCGCGAGTTGGCATTCTCGTCACATGGTGTCGCGAGTTCGGTTGGGGTTCTGGTCGCATGTGTCGCAGTGGGTGTACTCTACTGTCAGGCGACCCCGGAAACCAGGTGGCGATATTTGAGTGGTGGTAATCCCGACCAACAGCAGCACATCCATTTCAAATTACTGTACAGGGTACAGTAATCCCGACCAACATTATCTGCAAGCAAACCGCCTTTCCCCGTCTCATCTCAACGCCCCGCTCGCTCCTCTCTCCCCTCCGCCTCCTATCTCCCTCGGTTGTCTCTCAACACAGCACCAACGAACTTAGTAACAATTCAGATTCTCACGCTCTAGTTTAGGATAGCCCCCGCGCGAAGCAGCGGTGCGAGGAAAGTCTTCTTGACTGTATCGCAAGCCAGCGGTTCTTATTCCGCCAGGTAGCTACAGTATGAGGCAGCAGTCATACTGTCGACACTAAGCGTGGTTGGTGGTCTGGCGGACTGTAGAGTACACCTGATTCCTCTTTCAATTCTCCTTTCGGAGAAATACTTCTCCCGTCAATCGCGCACCAGGTACTCGAATTACCATGCAACTATGGTTCCCCCGTTTATTGCCATCTTCTCACGTTTTCCTGGAACGGCGAATCATTCGCAGGTGTGTGTTTCGTCGAGTGTGGGCCCGTTTCCCGTGACAGTCCCACAATTGCTCCTACAGATAATAGAATCTGAGAATGTATAAACAGAGTTTAGTAATGTCGGCAGGTTCGCGAGGTGTATTAGAAAGACTTCAAGCCTTCTCAGCGCCGCGCACGCCTTCGTGTATCTGACTCGGCAAAACGTGCGGCTAGCTTCACGTTCGGCGCTTTTGATTGTCATTATCCTAACCTACACTCCGAGCCGCGTCGACAGTGGTAATTGTGCTCGGGTTTTGCGGTCAGGACGGCCGCTTGACACCGAATGTGCCAGCTTCACCAACTTCTGCCGAGCGAGTAGCAGGTCCAGTTGCTCGAAGCTGGCAGTGTGGTGCAGCTGAAATCCCGAGTCTCGCAGCTTGGTCCGTTTGAGCGCCCGAAGCTGGCAGCTTTGGCCCGCGCCGCAATGCTTCTGGTATGCCGCCGGAGTGACCGAGTGTCCTACACCACTTCGCCTGCATTCCACCAGTCCCTCATCTCAAATTCCCACCAGATTCGAATTTCAAATCGCACCATCTCTAGCTTTTCACCCTTGTGCGAAACATGGAGCGTGTGGCACCCGTCGCCGTCCTCCTCTGTGAGCACTTCTTGCTCCTTTACTCTCTCTTACTACTACTTCCTACCAAGTAGTACTATGTCTCATGATGCCACCGTGATACTCATCATCATGTCTGTTGACGGCATCATCTCGATGCCACCGCGTTCCACTGTTCATGCCGGCGTTTTCAGCTTATCTTATCCCCATTCCCCTCCCGGCAATAGAGGAACTTCCTGTTACCCTTGAAGCCGCTCTCTGCATTTACCGAACCCTTATCCCCATCCTCCCCCATCGCCCCCATCCCCCCTCTCCGCCCTCCCCACCCCTCCCCTGCAGCAGCAGCGGCGGGATTATCAGGGGAGCCAGCAGTGCGGCCAGCGATACCCCTTAGTTGGCGTGCAGTTGATCTCTCCCCCCCGCCCACACCACCTCTCCGCAGCGGCAGCAGCTGCAGCATTAGCGGCAGGGAACAAGCAGTGCCAGCGTTCCCGTGGCTGATATACTGGGGCGACCAACATCTGAGCCGACTCCAACCTGATTGACAGTGGCGGATCAGTGATGTGCTCAAGGGAGTGTCGCCTTAGGGGTGACTCCTTGCCCCACGTGCTGCTACCGGCCCTTAGAGATTGAAGGAGCCGATACTATGAATGCGTGCTCGTACAACCCCACAGCTTTTGCCTTTTCCGCGCATTTGATGATACCATGATGCTCCCCCGCCGTCAGGTGCGGCGTTCTTCACGGCCGCGGCCGCGTCGGCCTCAATCCCTCCATCGCTCCTCGCTCGCAGCGGCAGTGCTTCATCATCATCCGCTTCCGCGTCCGAGGTGGCGAGTCTGGTTGCCAAGCCCTTGGCGCAGAAAGGGAAGACTGTGGGTGAGTATTCAATGCTCTTTGCCCCTGTGTCGTGAGGTTTCCTTAGAACGCTACTGCCTCTCCTCACCCACACAAGTTCGTCCTGAAAGTGGCCCTGTAAGCCGACCCAGAAGTATACTTCTCTTCAATTTAGAGTCACATTGGTGTCGACACTTTCTGGAAAAGCTCGTTTCATGTGCCCCTTATACCTGCCGTTCCCGCTACCAGAAAAATACGTGGCTAAGCTGCGACCTCCTGTGTTGGTCGGCGATAAAGGTGCATCCGGAAAAGCGGTCATGAGGGTCGTGAGGTGCGTGGTTGTTGCTCAAGCTGCGGCTGCTGTTGTTCCTTTTTATCACTCACGACTGACAAAATTCATCATCTTTTGGCTCTTCTGTGGCCTCGCAAAAATCATGCACCAGTCTTAAGTGTCCCCAGCCCCCATTCCCACCCACCTTTCCAAACGCTTCCCTGTACCTCCTCTCCCCTCCCCCCTCCCCCCCGCCTCCTCCCCCTCCCCACCTTTCCCAACAGTAACCCCCCACCCTTCCCTTTTCCGTCCCTCTCACGACCAACTCCCTTTATGCCCTGTTGGCAGGTACTCAGCAAAGGCATACAAGTCGTTTTTTTTTGTCAAGGTCTTAAAGATCAAATATGGTGCATCTGCACCTGGCTTCACGGGTATCGCCCTTCGCTGTGGAGCGAGCCTGTATGCTCGCGCTGACGTAACTTGGCGTAACATCACTAGTGGCAAGAAAGGTCACGCCAAGCGGTACAGCTTCAAAGGCAGAAAGGAAGTAGGGTCAGGGTCTCTGGCTGCAGCACATAAGGTGATACAGGATTTCTTAAGTGGAGTAAAAATATTTCAGGTTGGTTACCCAGCGAATTCGGGCGCGCTCTGTGGGGAGGTAAAGAAAGTGATGTAGTAGTTGGCTCGCCTTGGATTCAATTGATTAGCTTAGGGTGATGCTCTTATAGGGTGTAAGGCAAAGTGGTCATGTTATTGGATCAGGTTGTTGCGAATATGATTGTACCGATTTTATTGTAATCTACACTATCAGAAGTGTAGTATCGAGCCTCTCCATATCGAGTGTGTTGACTGGAGAATCGAGCTACAGGGGCGCAACCGCGCACAGCGGTTGCGACCCTCGTGGCAGCTGGGGGGTCGAATCGACAGTGGGGCAGGTGCACTGTACACGAAACGCCCTGTAGGGTACGGCAGAATACCGCGCCCTTGCCGAAGTTGAGCAGTCGTGCCAGTGCGACTGTAACAGGGCAACCCAAGTGTTGCAGCGCAACTGTTATAAAGTTGCGCTGCGGTAACTGCCTGCCCTATACGTTTGGTATATAACTCAATGTATTGCATCTCTATTATTACACAATTATCTACCTTATGTCCGGCCTACCCTCGGCCGCCGCTCTGGCACCACGTTACAAGCCAGGAGAGCTACCTCTGAGTGACCATTGCCCCGCCGTAGGGACGTCGTTAATTCCTAGAGTATTTCTGCTACTCTAGCGACCTCTTGGTTTCAACACAGGTCACTAGAATGCCCTTGTCACATTGTAGAAAGTGTATGTATCAGAATTCCGTGCATGAAGAGCTAGATTGTCTCGAATGGTGTCCACAATTCGAGTTATCGAGGTTTCGTTCTGAAAAGCGTATGCCATGGTCGAACTCGAGGTGGCTACGGAGTTCCCCCTCTCTCAAAGGTAAGGGCGGGGTCAGCGCGTTCGTCCGTCACATTCGTTCAGTTCATCCGTCGTGGTGATAAAATGATCCAGACAGTGCACAGCGGTTACTCAGGTTCACCGTTTCAAACCGTGTCACAACGAGATTAACTGCACAAAACCAGCTGTAAATGAACGCGCTGACCTAGCTCTAAACACTGGTTGTCGCAAGCAGCAACTTCCAGCCAGTAAACTTCGCTAGCGCGGTGGCGATATCGGCGAAATCCCTATCAAGCTTTCGCGAGTCTCTTCGTCTTTCTCCCCCTTCATCATAATGTCATCCCGTATGGCAGATTTTTCGCTGTCAGCCTCGGAAGAAAAAACACGGCTTCCATCCCATCCTCATAAGTCATGGCTTCGGATTTCCTTAAATTTTCCAGCCAACACTGCCACTCCCACCTCGCATCGCACTGCTGAAGTATCCGTTTTTCCATGAGCGCGTTTAGTGATTCAGCCACCACTGCGACGAACTCTCCCAACCAATCTAGCCGCGGGCTCGAAAATGGGGAGATCGAGATGGACCCCCAATTAGGGCATCGACGATCAGTGCAGCCCAAGGTGGAGGGCCAGGCGACACGGGGGTAACCTGGCCTCACCAATCCCCGTCGCGGGCACTCTCGTCGCCCCAATCGCAGAAAACTGAGTAAGTTTTTACTCACGGCATCAGCCCAACTTTGACAGGGTACCGAAATTAGTTCGAAGCGGAACTGGATTGAACCACTGACGGACGAAATTGTGGAGACCTGCAAAAGCCCGATAGTACTTTCGCCGATGCAGCGTGGGACCAATTCTCACCCCTCTGTCCTCGTCTTTGCACGTTACGTCATTCTCGGTTCTGTATAGGAGTTCAAGAGTTTTTGGTTAAAGGTCTCGATTATCCACAGCATAATTTATCCCAAATTCTACAATTTGCGGACTAGGCTGTTAAAATCCAGATCGTAGAAGCGTCACGCGCGGCTTTCACAGGAAGAGGTCACGAGAAGCTGGAGCAGGAGCGAGGAGACAGCTAGAGGGGGTACATAGATCGGCCGAAAACGCGACTGCTGATATCCCGTTTCCTGGGCGCTACGTGTCGAAGCGGGAGCGACTAAGGATGGACGGGCAAAAAAAGAACGTATCCACTTCCGGGCAGCTGATTCACAAAATCTCAGAGGAAATCGTTACGCGGGAAACCGCGGCGTATGGCAGGGGAGCTCTCCCAAGCGCGTCCCACTGGAAATGACACGCGGGTAATGAGACGTCTCATAACGCGTACGGCGAGGGAGCTCTCCCGGACGTGCCGGACTGGATCCGCCACGCCGCGGCCGAACAAGAATGCGCTGCTGCTGAGCGATTCGTTGCGCCGCGGCGCCTGATGTGCCGGTGAGTTTCCCCCCTTCTTTCCCCCTCCCCTTTCCCCCTCCCGCTTCTTCCCCCCTCCCGCTTCTTCCCCTCTCCCGCTTCTTCCCCCCTCCCGCTTCTTCCCCCCTCCCGCTTCTTCCCCTTTCCTGCTTCTTCCCCTCTCCCGCTTCTTCCCCCCTTCCTTCCCCCACGCCTTGTAAGCAGATGGTCACAAGACCAGTCAAGAACAAGCAGCAAAACAAGGCTCATGGTGGCGCTCAAAGTCACCACACACTCCGAGCACAAACAAGCGGTCACAAGGCCAGTTCAAGAGTTCACTAGGATATATAGCAAAGCAAAACAAGCAGAGCCAACAGCAAGACTACAGCAACCGAGGGCCTACCTCAACAAGCCCTAGCTGCACACAGAACCTGTGGTGGTCACCAGGCGCCAAGGCCTTGGTGAAGACGTCGGCCGTCTTGGCCTCTAAGGCCACAAAGTCCAAGCGTGCATGGTCGCATCGCTGCAACTCTCGCAGGAGAAAGTACCTCATGTCAATGTGCTTCACTCTGATCTCCAGTCGAGGCTCTCGACACAGGAGGATCATGGCCTTGTTGTCGGCGTACAAGGTTGGTGCACAGCGAGGCCGCTCACCAAGGTCGGCGAGCAAGAAGGTCAACCAGCGAAGCTCCTGTGCCGCCATGGCACCAGCGTAGATCTCTGCCTCTGCACTGGACGAAGCCACAGACGACGACCGTGTAGACCTCCACGACACAACACCAGCACCCAGGCTGAAGAGTAACCCTGAGTCGAACGCTGAGTCTCCACGTCGTCAGCGTAGGAAGAGTCGCAGTGACCGGTCAACTCAACTAGCTGAGTCCTTCCAAGCACAAGCCCCATGCTTGAGGTAGTCACCAGGTATTTCGCCACCCTCACAGCAGCTGTCCAGTGAACAGGGCGGTGTCTCCCAGTCGCAACAAAGCGAGAGAGGACGCTGAGGGGAAAGGCGAGGTCCGGCCGAGTACATGTCATCAGGTACATGAGGCAGCCCACAAGCTTTGCGTAGGGACCACTAGACTCAAAGGGCTCGTCGGGAAAGGGGCCAGTGAGTCTGTGGTCAACAGCAAGAGGAGTGGGCTGGGTGGTGGAGAACTGAAACTCGAACCGTCGAAGGACCTGCTGCACCATGTGTGACTGCGTGAGTGTGATGGTGCGAGCGGCTCTGTCCCTGGTGATCTGCAGGCTAAGGTAGCGCTGCACTTCACCGATGTCAGTGCACGTGTGTCTCTTCTGCAGTTTGGACTTCACCTCAGCCAGAGCTGCCCTGTCTGCTGTAGCAAAGACCAAGTCGTCGACGTAGACAAGTATAAAGAAAAGAGTGGAACCAGCGCGAACAAACAGCGACGGGTCGGCAGAAGAAGGACGAAACCCAAGGTCACGAAGCGTGGAGCGAAGAGTGTCGTGCCACTCACGGGGCGACTGGCGGAGACCGTAGACTGGTCGCCTCAGGCTCCACTGGGTCCCATGTGGGAAGGTGTCAGTGAAGCCAGGAGGACGCCGCAGCCGGATCTCCTCGTGTAAGCGGCCCTGGAGAAACGCAGTGGAGAAGTCGAGGGAGTGCAGCTCGTAGTCTCGCTGTACTGCTACGTGTAGTAACACCCGATGAGTAGTCATCTTCGAAGTCGGGGCGAAGGTCTGGAAGAAGTCAACACCCTCACGTTGACTGAAACCCCTAGCCTTGTAGTGCGCCTTGAACACAGGCGGTGATCCAGGCGGCCGCTTCACCTTGAAGAGCCACATGCCATCGACAACGTTCGCCCTGGGAGGGGGAACTGCGTTGACGTAGGTGCCTGTGAATCTCCAAGACGCTAACTCTGAGTCCATAGTCGCTTTCCACTGAGAGGCCCACTCCCCTGATACTGCCTCACGGTACGTGCGGTGCGAGGAGTCAGAATGTCAAGGGTGTTGGGGTCTCCCTCAGGGGAAAGCAGCATGGCACATAGAGAGGGAGAAGCAGCTGCCAGGAAATCCAGCTCAAACTGCCTGTAATTTAGGACGTCACAGCCAAGGGCAAACTCACCCCCGGCGGACAGAGGAAGGGCAGGCGGAGCAGCCACTACACGCGTGGCGAAGTCAAGGCGGCGGGTGGAAGCAAACTCAGCGTCAGCGGCAGTAAGAGCTGAGACAGACGACGAAGAGGCATGAGGTTCGGTGACAAGAGAGGCGAGAACACGCGAGACAACAGGACGAGCAGCACGGTAGTAGTCAGTGATAAGGTGAGAGGAGACAGTGAGAGACGACGCAGGAGGTGGCGGGAAAACAGACACATGCGGAGCACGACGAGGACTAGAACGGACAGGACAGTGCGGAGGTCGTCAAAAGGAGACGAGGGACGAGCACGCGGAGGAGAACGAGTGGTCCAGTCGTGCGGGAGAACAGGAGGAGGCGACTGTGCCTGAAGAGGAGAGAAAACAGCCGGAGCCGAGTCCGGCGGAGGAAACGTAGAGCCGTACGCGGTAGGAGACTGTAAGTGGACAGAAGGAGAGGAGGGAAGACCAAGGGGCCGAAGGCCACTCACTGGTGGGAACAGCTGCTGCAAAATTGGCGGCTTCGGCGAACGCTGCTGCTGCTGCCGCTGCTGTCGCTGCTGCCGCTGCTGCCACTGCTGCTGCTACTGCTGCTACTGCTGCTGCTGCTGCTGCTGCTGCTGCTGCAGCTGCCCAGCAAGGAAGATCCCTTTGTGCTCTACACCGACTGGAGCAGCGCAGGCATGGGAGCCATACTGTGTCAAAAGAGGGAGGGGTAGGAGATGGTAGTGGCCTTTGCCAGCAGGAGCTGTAACCCAGCAGAGGCCAACTACTGCTCATACGAAGGAGAA